ACTCTAGCGACCCTGATGCTCCCGACCCAGTTGCACGAAGTCCAAAGGTCAAGAGGACGATCGTACTGATACAGTCTTATCCGATACCATCCAGCGGGTAGGCCACTACACTCGGATGGATTCCCGAGTACCCGGCACAGCATTGCCAGGCGGCCATCTTGAGATCGGCACACCACTTAAGGAGCAGACAATCTGTCTCTGTGCTCACGAGGGAAAGGATGACGGTCCTTTGCGGTAATACCGTACTCAAGGACCAGTGGAAGAATGACCTCCATCTCAGCCCGTATAGTCGGGAGTGCGCTACCACACATGCGCACAGTATGCCACGGTCTTTAGTGCCGAAGCAGCGGCCTCAGCTACTCACCGGCGTCTCCTTGTAACAACAACCTCAGATATTCACCGGCGGCTTCACGTAACAGCAACCTCAGCTATTCACCGGCGGCTTCACGTGACAGCAGCCTCGGGTGGTCACCAGAGGCTTCACATAACAGCAGCCTCGGGTGGTCACCAGAGGCTTCACGTAACAGCCACCTCAGCTATTCACCGGCGGCTTCACGTGACAGCAGCCTCGGGTGGTCACCAGAGGCTTCACATAACAGCAGCCTCGGGTGGTCACCAGAGGCTTCACGTGACAGCCACCTCAGGTGGTCACCAGAGGCTTCACATAACAGCAGCCTCGGGTGGTCACCAGAGGCTTCACATAACAGCAGCCTCGGGTGGTCACCAGAGGCTTCACGTAACAGCCACCTCAGGTGGTCACCGGTGGCTTCACGTAACAGCCACCTCAGGTGGTCACCAGAGGCTTCACGTAACAGCCACCTCAGGTGGTCACCAGAGGCTTCACGTAACAGCCACCTCAGGTGGTCACCAGAGGCTTCACGTGACAGCCACCTCAGGTGGTCACCAGAGGCTTCACGTAACAGCCACCTCAGGTGGTCACCAGAGGCTTCACGTAACAGCCACCTCAGGTGGTCACCAGAGGCTTCACGTAACAGCCACCTCAGGTGGTCACCGGTGGCTTCACGTAACAGCCACCTCAGGTGGTCACCGGTGGCTTCACGTAACAGCCACCTCAGGTGGTCACCGGTGGCTTCACGTAACAGCCACCTCAGGTGGTCACCGGTGGCTTCACGTAACAGCCACCTCAGGTGGTCACCAGAGGCTTCACATAACAGCAGCCTCAGGTGGTCACCAGAGGCTTCACGTGACAGCCACCTCAGGTGGTCACCAGAGGCTTCACGTAACAGCCACCTCGGGTGGTCACCAGAGGCTTCACGTGACAGCCACCTCAGGTGGTCACCAGAGGCTTCACGTAACAGCCACCTCAGGTGGTCACCAGAGGCTTCACGTGACAGCCACCTCAGGTGGTCACCGGTGGCTTCACGTAACAGCCACCTCAGGTGGTCACCAGAGGCTTCACGTAACAGCCACCTCAGGTGGTCACCAGAGGCTTCACATAACAGCAGCCTCAGGTGGTCACCAGAGGCTTCACGTAACAGCCACCTCAGGTGGTCACCAGAGGCTTCACGTAACAGCCACCTCAGGTGGTCACCGGTGGCTTCACGTGACAGCCACCTCAGGTGGTCACCAGAGGCTTCACGTAACAGCCACCTCAGGTGGTCACCAGAGGCTTCACGTGACAGCCACCTCAGGTGGTCACCAGAGGCTTCACGTAACAGCCACCTCAGGTGGTCACCAGAGGCTTCACGTAACAGCCACCTCAGGTGGTCACCAGAGGCTTCACGTAACAGCCACCTCAGGTGGTCACCAGAGGCTTCACGTAACAGCCACCTCAGGTGGTCACCAGAGGCTTCACGTAACAGCCACCTCAGGTGGTCACCGGTGGCTTCACGTGACAGCCACCTCAGGTGGTCACCGGTGGCTTCACGTGACAGCCACCTCAGGTGGTCACCAGAGGCTTCACGTAACAGCCACCTCAGGTGGTCACCGGAGGCTTCACGTAACAGCCACCTCAGGTGGTCACCGGCGGCTTCACATAACAGCCACCTCGGGTGGTCACCGGAGGCTTCACGTAACAGCCACCTCAGGTGGTCACCGGTGGCTTCACGTGACAGCCACCTCAGGTGGTCACCGGAGGCTTCACGTAACAGCCACCTCAGGTGGTCACCAGAGGCTTCACGTAACAGCCACCTCAGGTGGTCACCAGAGGCTTCACATAACAGCAGCCTCAGGTGGTCACCAGAGGCTTCACGTAACAGCCACCTCAGGTGGTCACCAGAGGCTTCACGTAACAGCCACCTCAGGTGGTCACCAGAGGCTTCACGTAACAGCCACCTCAGGTGGTCACCGGTGGCTTCACGTAACAGCCACCTCAGGTGGTCACCGGTGGCTTCACGTGACAGCCACCTCAGGTGGTCACCGGTGGCTTCACGTAACAGCCACCTCAGGTGGTCACCGGTGGCTTCACGTGACAGCCACCTCAGGTGGTCACCGGTGGCTTCACGTGACAGCCACCTCAGGTGGTCACCGGTGGCTTCACGTGACAGCCACCTCAGGTGGTCACCGGTGGCTTCACGTAACAGCCACCTCAGGTGGTCACCGGAGGCTTCACGTAACAGCCACCTCAGGTGGTCACCGGCGGCTTCACGTAACAGCCACCTCAGGTGGTCACCGGTGGCTTCACGTGACAGCCACCTCAGGTGGTCACCAGAGGCTTCACATAACAGCCACCTCAGGTGGTCACCAGAGGCTTCACGTAACAGCCACCTCAGGTGGTCACCGGTGGCTTCACGTGACAGCCACCTCAGGTGGTCACCAGAGGCTTCACGTAACAGCCACCTCAGGTGGTCACCAGAGGCTTCACGTAACAGCCACCTCAGGTGGTCACCAGAGGCTTCACGTAACAGCCACCTCAGGTGGTCACCAGAGGCTTCACATAACAGCAGCCTCAGGTGGTCACCAGAGGCTTCACGTAACAGCCACCTCAGGTGGTCACCGGTGGCTTCACGTGACAGCACCTAGGTGGTTCACGGCTTAACCTCAGGTGGTCACCAGAGGCTTCACGTGACAGCAGCCTCGGGTGGTCACCAGAGGCTTCACGTGACAGCCACCTCAGGTGGTCACCAGAGGCTTCACGTGACAGCAGCCTCGGGTGGTCACCAGAGGCTTCACGTGACAGCAGCCTCGGGTGGTCACCAGAGGCTTCACATAACAGCAGCCTCAGGTGGTCACCAGAGGCTTCACATAACAGCAGCCTCAGGTGGTCACCAGAGGCTTCACGTAACAGCCACCTCAGGTGGTCACCAGAGGCTTCACGTAACAGCCACCTCAGGTGGTCACCGGTGGCTTCACGTAACAGCCACCTCGGGTGGTCACCAGAGGCTTCACGTAACAGCCACCTCAGGTGGTCACCAGAGGCTTCACGTAACAGCCACCTCAGGTGGTCACCGGTGGCTTCACGTAACAGCCACCTCGGGTGGTCACCAGAGGCTTCACGTGACAGCAGCCTCGGGTGGTCACCAGAGGCTTCACGTGACAGCAGCCTCGGGTGGTCACCAGAGGCTTCACATAACAGCAGCCTCAGGTGGTCACCAGAGGCTTCACATAACAGCAGCCTCAGGTGGTCACCAGAGGCTTCACGTAACAGCCACCTCAGGTGGTCACCAGAGGCTTCACGTAACAGCCACCTCAGGTGGTCACCGGTGGCCTCACGTAACAGCCACCTCGGGTGGTCACCAGAGGCTTCACGTAACAGCCACCTCAGGTGGTCACCAGAGGCTTCACGTAACAGCCACCTCAGGTGGTCACCGGTGGCTTCACGTAACAGCCACCTCGGGTGGTCACCAGAGGCTTCACGTGACAGCAGCCTCGGGTGGTCACCAGAGGCTTCACGTGACAGCAGCCTCGGGTGGTCACCAGAGGCTTCACGTAACAGCCACCTCAGGTGGTCACCAGAGGCTTCACGTGACAGCAGCCTCGGGTGGTCACCAGAGGCTTCACGTGACAGCAGCCTCGGGTGGTCACCAGAGGCTTTACGTAACAGCCACCTCAGGTGGTCACCAGAGGCTTCACGTAACAGCAACCTCAGGTGGTCACCGGTGGCTTCATGTGACAGCCACCTCAGGTGGTCACCGGTGGCTTCACGTGACAGCAGCCTCGGGTGGTCACCAGAGGCTTTACGTAACAGCCACCTCAGGTGGTCACCGGCGGCTTCATGTGACAGCAGCCTCAGCTGCTCACCGGCGGCTTCACGTAACAGCAACGTCAGCTGCTCACCGGTGTCTCCACGTAACAGCAATTTCAGCTGTTTACCGGAAGCTTCATGTGACGAGACAATCAGCGACGAATTGAAGAACAGCACCGTTTGTTTTGGCGATCTTTTTCAGGATGGCTGCTCGATTTTGTTTCGAAAGCAACGATGGTACCGGACCATGACGAACGTACACCTTTAACTTGGCAAGCCAGCCATCACATTGAAATGCCATGTAACACTTCGACCATGCCTGACCACATGGTGGCATCGTTAAAAACAATTTCACTAGATACTAAATGTGATGCATCATGCACCTGATGAATTTGGTGTTATCTTGGCGCTGTCCAAGTCACTTCCCAGAAAAATCTAGGTCGCGATGTCAACTTAGCCAAAAGGAATTCATATCTAAGGTTTCTCAAGAACAAGCACGATAGCGGAAAGCCGCTGTGAGTGTCCGCATTCATGAAGTGAGGTTTAGAAACAGTCCATTACACTCAAAATTAGCACACAGGTAAACATTCGCGATAATCATGAAACGGAGAAGTTGACGCTTCCCCATTTTGCCACGAACAGTCCTGCACGAATAACACAGATTATTTCAATGGCAAAGGTAGGCATTCTCGATAGGCGGTTCCATCTTGTGTGTGCGCGTGTTGGCAGTAATGCTACGCGCTCTGATCTTTGGTAGAAGATCGCTTGCTTGGTAACTCGAGTCAACCAAAACATGACGCGGTGACGTCTACAGCTGACGGGCCAGCTGCAACATCACCGAAAAGACGTCACTTACCTGTCATGTTCTTGGCCTCAAAGGTGCCGAACTCGCCGTCAGGCGACAGGAACAGATCGAAGGTGAAGTTGACGCGCTCTGACAGTTTATTCAGCAGGTCGATGCAGTAGCCCCAGCAGCAAAACTCCACGCTTTCTGAGGATGTCAGGTTTAAAGCTCTGTCAGAGTGCGACCATGCGTATTCCTCCTGGGGCAACAAGCCGCCACCAGCAGCGAGCCATGCCACTGCCATTCCACTACAATGTGCTGTCACATTCGCTCACTCCTACGTTACGAGCTGCATAACAACATTGGCTCCCGGGCGGGTGGCAGCAACAGTAGAATAGGTCTCAACTTCTCAAATCACACGAACAGCTCTCTGATCTCGCTCGCCGGTCCAGCCAGAACAGCTCTCTGATCTCTCTCGCCGGTACAGCCAGAACAGCTCTGATGACGTTGCGCAGTCAATTACACCAACATAAACAAGATAAAAGTGACAGATATCTTGATTAGATCATCATCTTGAACATAAAAATAAGTGTATTTAGAATAGACAAAAAAGCTGAGTCCTACTACGTAGTTCTATTACTTCTAGCTAGCTCCAGTTCCTCCCCGGTCTAGACCGCATTCCGATTTCGTATGTCAGCTGGCGTTTCAAGCAATCTCCAAAGCAGTTTTAATTTTAAGTGTCATTTTCGGTTACAGGTGCTGTCCGACGTTGAGAGAAATGTCATACACGTGCGTCTGAACAGCTGTTGGGAAAACAGCGGGACACGCTTGAACAGCAGACGAGCCGTCAGCCAGCAGTAAGTGATGCCGTCGTAAGAGCAGACCCACCGGCGCACGGTCCACCTGGCCGGGGCCGGTCTCAGGGTCGCATTGTCCAGACTAGACCCACTGGCGCACGGCCCACCTGGCCGGGGCCGGTCTCAGGGTCGCATTGTCCAGACTAGACCCACCTGGCGCACGGCCCACCTGGCCGGGGCCGGTCTCAGGGTCGCATTGTCCAGACTAGACCCACTGGCGCACGGTCCGCTCGGTCGGGGCCGGCTTCAGGGTCACATTGTCCAGACCGGACCCCACGACGGGACCGGCCTCAGGGTCGCGTAATGGGACGTACCGCCGGAGTGGCTGTGCCAAGGGCAGCGCGTCTCCACGTCGCTGCAGCTCTGGCCAGGCTCTAGGCGGCGGGTGTAGACGAACGGCCGCTCCTCCAGCGTCAGCACCTTCAGGTGGGTGGGGATCTTCACGCCGTCCGGCTTCACGTTGCTTCCGCCCGGCCAGATGATCTTGCTTGTCTCCAGCTTCAGGTCCATTCGGCGTAGGCTCTGCACAACGGCCATAGCTGGTGAACAGAAATGTCTCGCCACATCGACTCTTCACCGAAGAGGCCATTTAGCCGCGTTGGTTCATCGATACAGGGAAGCGTAGTGAAAAAGGATATCAGGCCACATTAGTCGGAGCCGCCCTTACCCCAACAGTCGCGTTTCATTCCATTCAGTCAACTAGGCATTTGATCGAACATGGAATCTAGTCACAGGATAGTTTTGCAACCATACTAGCCATGATATAGTTTTACAACTTGCGTTCCTGTTGTGCGGATGAGAGCATGTCACCTTCTACGCATGGAGTAAATGTGGCCTACAAATGTGGCATGGGGTAAATCCGGGAGGCCGTTTTGACCCCGCGAGATCTCAAAGTTTGTAGGGTAAACTTTGTCAAACGGTCGAAATGACCGGTGGGATGTAAGCTGTTTTGACATCGCCGTTTTCTCTTGGAATTACTGAATTGCTCGTCGCGGCAAGTACTGACAGACACATAATTTAGGCCATACCTGGAGTTTCCTTAACACCAACCGCACGATTCGTCATATCCTGACGCAAAACACATAAGAAATGTTGGATCGAGCAGCCATGCTATTGCATATCAGTCTCGATGCAGGAACATCCAGGTAAAGCCTGTGTTTGCTCTGTGATGTTTCTTAACCTAGTTTGCTGATTTTGTTATTGAATAAAAAACAATGTCCGCGACCAAAATTATGTTTTACAGGTGTGCTAAATAAAAATTTAATATTGGCAACAGTAAATAGTCAGTAGTCATAAAATTTCCAAGGCGAAGGGGTCATTAACATAATAACTTTACCTGATACCCCCAGTGGTTGGCCCCGACCTTTCTCATAAATATGTACGTACCTGAAACGTAATCGCTGTCGATATGCGTTATGTCAGTAGTACGGAAGGAACAGAATCACGAGCGTACTGGTGGAATGGCATAATGCAAGCCATGGCCCGTTGCATTTCGTCCCCTCCAGCTGTCTGATATCTCGCCCGGCCACGCACTGTAGTTATCCACACAGACAATACTAACATTAAAACGCCTTATGCGGCGTACGACCAGCGAGGCAATAGCAGATCGTCAGAAGGGCTCAGGTGTTACCACGAAGATGATGCAAAGAACTAAGGTAATGCAACCATTAAAATAGTAACATTAGCCTCGCTACTCAGAGAAAAACCAGGAGAATAAAGATATTGTTGTGTTGATATTTCGGCAACATGCCTTTATTGAAACAATAGCAGAAGTGGTTTAATTTTTCTTAAACCACTTCTGCTATTGTTAAACCACTTCTCTGAATTCGAACTGAGGTATGTTACTCCAGTGATGCACAGGTAGTTTGGCTTCCACAGATTCAACAAAAAAGAAATTCAAGATGTCAGGATGTTATGAAAAATATAAGATGTCAAGATGTGATAAGAAAAATATGATGTTAAGATGTGACGACCAAAAAAAGCTGTTACTCCGCCACCGGCGCGCAGTATGTTTTTGCATTCAGACGTGCAAATTCATCAGAACACGCGGCTTCTGTTATATTCGCGGGGAAACCATGGAGAAAAATTGCTATCTCGCATATCTTGGGTCTTTGTATCCGCATTTGTTTGTTCACGCCAGTGCCCAACCAAATATCGCAAGGGGTGCGCACAGTTTTGCTGTGGTGAAATACAATTACATTGTTACTGTCCACAAATGTGTCTATCGCGCATGTTGTTTTGAACATATAAAAAGGGGAGCTAAATGACGTGTCACAAACGATGACAAGGTTCATATGTTGACTATTTGTTCAGGTTTCCATCCGTTAGCCTTATGATCATCACTTTCATGAACAACAGCCTTTTGTCGAAACACCGGAGCGGAAGTACGGATGTGCACACCGAGCTTTTGTACAGAAATATTCATTGACGTATTTTGTGGTCGGGGCCAATTCACTTAACTCACAATTCAGCCCTTCCCATAGCGTTTGCACTGGTTCGCTTGCGGACATGTTCAACAGTTATTAACGTTGTCTTACGCATACATCTGTTCAACGGCGATAGGCTTTACCGAAGGTATCTTCCAATGTCAAGTGCACATTTATTTTTACCTCTCTGACAGAAACCAGCGACGGTGCCGAAACAAAAAATGCGAAGTTTGAGGGGGACAACGCCGCTCCCTATGACTGCGCTCCCCGGGCCTGATCCCTGGGATTTCGTTACGAGGATGCACAGTCACTGCAGCCAGGGGCGCAACCAGAGACACAGCAAGAGTCAGGCGCCAAGGTTAACAAGTAACCCCACCCTTGCTCGTGGAAGGACAGCAGGCAGCCCGCCGCACATCATCCCAAATATGATCACTTGGATTTTGCTCACTTTATTTCCACATATTGATTTCCCTCAGTATTTGTTATGCTGAGCTTCTTCGACTAAACGAGAGTCCAGAAGCTACCAGAAAATGCAATTATATATGCATTCAGGAGTAAACAAAACATGGTACCGATCAGGAATAACCTAACCGCATGGAATAAATCGCGGGCGATGTTCACTCTTTAATGGCTCATTGGCCCTTCTTACAACAGTCAGGTCAGGTTACAATAGTCAGGGGTGCCGCCGAATTTCCTCGCGGTTTTATAAAGATCTTGAGAGACCCGCGGACTGAGCACCAGCGTGACTCGAAACAAGGTCAAAAGTTTGCATCGTCATGTCCAGCCCTTGTTCGTCTGAAAGCCTTAATGTGTTTTTGTAAATCCATCAACACCAAATTATATCAAATAGTTTTAGGCATGTGCACTTACAGCCTACTTGAAAGAACACCGAGGTCCGATGTTGCAGACTCCATAAACCGTGCGGCGTCGGCCGCGCACCTAAAACCCGACGGAAGTCATCGGGCAGCCGAAAGCGACCACATATCGGAAACATCGTACGCTTCATGAAACCAATTCGTATACATGCGCCCAATGTCCCGAGCCCTAGATTACAACTGTGTGATTTTCACATTGATACTCGGAACGGTTGAACACGTACGGCACTACGATTTCATGACGCAATGACATAGCCTCAGTTGCTCCGTTCAGAGTATCAACCTCGAAAAAGCACGTGTGAACTTCCCTAGCGAGGACCTGAAGGGCTTTTCCGCCACAGCCCCGGCTCCCTAACGGCTGCTGTTCTGGATATATGGAGACCGCCTTGCCCTTGTCAATCAGGAGGTCCTCAAAGAGATGCGCCATACACCGCGCCGGTCCCCTCCCTGGTGCGGCAGGCCCTCTGACCGGGGCATCTGGCACCGGATCGACGCAGGGACCCTCACTGACACAAAAAAAAACCTCTCATCGATTCATGGAGCCTAATAATTAGCACCGAGACACCATTTCAGCTTATCGACCGCTGAGTGAAACGGTGCAGAGGGCCTTCCGTTAGGCACTAGGGCCTTTGGCCGACACAGAAATATTCCACTGCCTCCTCGCGAATTTTAACCCTTGCAATGACATTTCCCATATCGCCTTTCATTGTCAAGAGGACGCCACCAAGGCTAGAGGGCGTGCGTGCGTGCGTGCGTGCGTGCGTGCGTGCGTGCGTGCGTGCGTGCGTGCGTGCGTGCGTGCGTGTGTGTGTGTGTGTGTGGTGCGTGTGTGTGCGTGTGTGTGTGTGTGTGTGTGTTGTGTGTGTGTCCCTGTGTGTCTTCCCCATCCCTGTGCGGTGAATGTGTCCCTGGCCGACTTGGAGCCGATTGCCGACATCTGGTCCCCTGTTAGGCGCCGTCCCTGACCAGCACAGGAAGGGGAGCCTTCATTGTTTCAGAGGCCCCAACCAATGCAACAGGTCTTCTGAGTGATCGTTGCAAACCCCAGTCTTCCCCTGATTCAGGAAGGGGCCCCCATCGCCGAGCCCGGCACAGAACTGACTGTTCGGCATGCGTGGTCCCTGTCAGCTGACTAACATAGAGGCCCCCATTGTTCCAGGGCCGCCCAATGGGTGCAAGAGGTACTCTGGCTGACATCTTAGGGTCCGGCCCTCGGGCCGGGCCCCCTTCATATGGCCTTCGGCTTTCCCTTTGGACCCCCAATCGGATCATTGATCGACGGCACCAAGAGATGCTCTTTGGGTTTCTTGGAACACCTGGGACCTCATGATCTAAAGGGTGTGGGGTCACGTACCCCTGCCCACCTGCGTGAGCCTATGATGGTGGTGACCTTGAAATTCGGTTCCTCGGTAACAATACAAACTTTCGAGTCATTTGTGGTGCCTGATATAATTGGATTACTCCTGAACATAATGGTTTAAGTGCCTCGAAACGAAGCCTGTGTACCCCCTCGCCGAATGGGCCCATCCAGGATTTCATCAATTGAGAGACACGTACATTGCAGTGTCCACTGAAATTTGTTGTCCATTGGAAATGAAGGTTTCGAGGGTCTTTGTGGCACCCTGATATTGGCGGCTTTTGGAAAATAAAGCGCATGGTGCCCGGAAATAAAGGCTTTTGGTGCCAACGATCCCGAGTGCCGCCGGGCCGAAAGGCGCAGAAATGGTGGTTCTCTGGATTTGGGTTCTCTTCTAAAATGAAGGCGTTTAGCCCTTTAAAAACCATCTCTGAATTTGTACATCTTGAAAATAAAGGCTATGGTACCCCGAAATGAATGTTTGGTGTTCCTGGCCCAGCCGGCCGATCCAGGATTCCGTCGGGGTGGTAGAAACAACATTGTCGTGCCCGTGGAATTTGGAGCCCTTAAATGCAGATTTCAGGTCCTCTAGTGCCCCTGAAATTGGGTGCCCCTAAAAAAGTTTATAATGTCGAGAAATAACGGTTTTTCCCACTCCTTGGACGGACTGATCCAGAATTTTGTTAGTGTGAAAGGTACAGAAATAGTGGTGCCCCTGCAGTTTGGTCCCTTTCACAAATGACGGCTTTCGGTTCTTTAGATGGCCCACTTGCATTTAGTGCTTATTGAAAATAAAGGTCATGTAAACACAAAATTAGGGCTTTGATGCCCTTCACCATGGTGAATTAGTAACCCGGGGGCCAT